CGAGTCATTATCTAGCAAATTTTTTTTTTCGAAATTTTTTTCCCAGTTTTAGTGAGTGTAGCTCAGCATCCGCTGGACCAATCAAAAAGTGCGCCATACATTTTTTGTTCGAGACTTTTTGCTCAATTTTTTGGCATTATCCCCGAGTCATTATCTGGCAAATTTTTTTTTTCGAAATTTTTTTTCCAGTTTTAGTGAGTGTAGCTCAGCATCCGCTGGACCAATCAAAAAGTGCGCCATACATTTTTTGTTCGAGACTTTTTGCTCAATTTTTTGGCATTATTCCCGAGTCATTATCTGGCAAATTTTTTTTTTCGAAATTTTTTTCCCAGTTTTAGTGAGTGTAGCTCAGCATCCGCTGGACCAATCAAAAAGTGCGCCATACATTTTTTGTTCGAAACTTTTTCCCTATTTTATTGGCGGTATTCCGGAACGATTATAACGCAAATTTAATTTTTCGAAAATTTTCCGAATTTATTTTTTAGTATAGCTCAGCATCCGCTGGACCAATCAAAAAGTGCGCCATACATTTTTTGTTCGAGACTTTTTGCTCAATTTTCTGGCATTATTCCCGAGTCATTATCTGTCAAATTTTTTTTTTCGAAATTTTTTTCCCAGTTTTAGTGAGTGTAGCTCAGCATCTGCTGGACCAATCAAAAAGTGAGCCATACATTTTTTGTTCGAGACTTTTTGCTCAATTTTTTGGCATTATTCCCGAGTCATTATCTGGCAAATTTTTTTTTTCGAAATTTTTTTCCCAGTTTTAGTGAGTGTAGCTCAGCATCCGCTGGACCAATCAAAAAGTGCGCCATACATTTTTTGTTCGAGACTTTTTGCTCAATTTTTTGGCATTATTCCCGAGTCATTATCTGGCAAATTTTTTTTTTCGAAATTTTTTTCCCAGTTTTAGTGAGTGTAGCTCAGCATCCGCTGGACCAATCAAAAAGTGCGCCATACATTTTTTGTTCGAGACTTTTTGCTCAATTTTCTGGCATTATTCCCGAGTCATTATCTGTCAAATTTTTTTTTTCGAAATTTTTTTCCCAGTTTTAGTGAGTGTAGCTCAGCATCCGCTGGACCAATCAAAAAGTGCGCCATACATTTTTTGTTCGAGACTTTTTGCTCAATTTTTTGGCATTATTCCCGAGTCATTATCTGTCAAATTTTTTTTTTCGAAATTTTTTTTCCAGTTTTAGTGAGTGTAGCTCAGCATCCGCTGGACCAATCAAAAAGTGCGCCATACATTTTTTGTTCGAGACTTTTTGCTCAATTTTTTGGCATTATTCCCGAGTCATTATCTGGCAAATTTTTTTTTTCGAAATTTTTTTCCCAGTTTTAGTGAGTGTAGCTCAGCATCCGCTGGACCAATCAAAAAGTGCGCCATACATTTTTTGTTCGAGACTTTTTGCTCATTTTTTTGGCATTATTCCCGAGTCATTATCTGGCAAATTTTTTTTTTCGAAATTTTTTTCCCAGTTTTAGTGAGTGTAGCTCAGCATCCGCTGGACCAATCAAAAAGTGCGCCATACATTTTTTGTTCGAGACTTTTTGCTCAATTTTCTGGCATTATTCCCGAGTCATTATCTGTCAAATTTTTTTTTTCGAAATTTTTTTCCCAGTTTTAGTGAGTGTAGCTCAGCATCCGCTGGACCAATCAAAAAGTGCGCCATACATTTTTTGTTCGAAACTTTTTCCCTATTTTATTGGCGGTATTCCGGAACGATTATAACGCAAATTTAATTTTTCGAAAATTTTCCGAATTTATTTTTTAGTATAGCTCAGCATCCGCTGGACCAATCAAAAAGTGCGCCATACATTTTTTGTTCGAGACTTTTTGCTCAATTTTCTGGCATTATTCCCGAGTCATTATCTGTCAAATTTTTTTTTTCGAAATTTTTTTCCCAGTTTTAGTGAGTGTAGCTCAGCATCTGCTGGACCAATCAAAAAGTGAGCCATACATTTTTTGTTCGAGACTTTTTGCTCAATTTTTTGGCATTATTCCCGAGTCATTATCTGGCAAATTTTTTTTTTCGAAATTTTTTTCCCAGTTTTAGTGAGTGTAGCTCAGCATCCGCTGGACCAATCAAAAAGTGCGCCATACATTTTTTGTTCGAGACTTTTTGCTCAATTTTTTGGCATTATTCCCGAGTCATTATCTGGCAAATTTTTTTTTTCGAAATTTTTTTCCCAGTTTTAGTGAGTGTAGCTCAGCATCCGCTGGACCAATCAAAAAGTGCGCCATACATTTTTTGTTCGAGACTTTTTGCTCAATTTTCTGGCATTATTCCCGAGTCATTATCTGTCAAATTTTTTTTTTCGAAATTTTTTTCCCAGTTTTAGTGAGTGTAGCTCAGCATCCGCTGGACCAATCAAAAAGTGCGCCATACATTTTTTGTTCGAGACTTTTTGCTCAATTTTTTGGCATTATTCCCGAGTCATTATCTGTCAAATTTTTTTTTTCGAAATTTTTTTCCCAGTTTTAGTGAGTGTAGCTCAGCATCCGCTGGACCAATCAAAAAGTGCGCCATACATTTTTTGTTCGAGACTTTTTGCTAAATTTTTTGGCATTATTCCCGAGTCATTATCTAGCAAATTTTTTTTTTCGAAATTTTTTTCCCAGTTTTAGTGAGTGTAGCTCAGCATCCGCTGGACCAATCAAAAAGTGCGCCATACATTTTTTGTTCGCTAGTTTTTGCTAAAGACTTTGGTGGTATTCCCGAACGATTATCTGAAAAATTTAATTTTTCAACAATTTTTCCAAAATGTTTCTTAGTGTAGCTCAGCATCCGCTGGACCAATCTAAAAGTGCGCCATACATTTTTTGTTGAGAACATTTCGACTATTTTTTTGGTGGTATTCCCGATCGATTATCTCGCAAATTTAATTTTTCTAAATTTTTTCCAAATTTGTTTTCTAGTGTAGCTCAGCATCCGCTGAACAAATCAAAAAGTGCGCCATACATTTTTTGTTCAGAACTTTCTTCTAATCATTATGGTGGTATTCCCGAACGATTATCTCGCAAATTTAATTTTTCTAAATTTTTTCCAAATTTGTTTTCTAGTGTAGCTCAGCATCCGCTGTACCAATCAAAAAGTGCGCCATACATTTTTTGTTCGCTACTTTTTGCTAAAGACTTTGGCGGTATTCCCGAACGATTATCTCGAAAATTTAATTTTTCAACTATTTTTCCAAAATGTTTTTTAGTGTAGCTCAGCATCCGCTGGACCAATCTAAAAGTGCGCCATATATTTTTTGTTCAGAACATTTTGACTATTTTTTTGGTGGTATTCCCGATCGATTATCTCGCAAATTTAATTTTTCTAAATTTTTTCCAAATTTATTTTTTAGTGTAGCTCAGCATCCGCTGGACCAATCAAAAAGTGCGCCATACATTTTTTGTTCGCTACTTTTTGCTAAAGACTTTGGCGGTATTCCGGAGCGTTTATCTCGAAAATTTAATTTTTCTTAATTTTTTCATTAATTATTAATTTTTTATTAGATAATACATAGGATTTTCAATTTTAATGGAAACAGTCAGTGGCTACCTTGTAATTAAATAATTGCATCAACAATAATTGATTTCAAGAAAAATATTTAATAATTTACTTTGGCTTTTAATTTGTTAATTTGAAAATTTAGTAAATAAGTTATAAAAGGAAAAAAAAATACTCTTTTATTAATAAATAATTAATAAATGATTATTTTTCAATTGGAAACAAGTTGAAAATTTTACTTTTAGTTTTTAAAAAAATTTTTTTTTTTTATTGATAAATATAAAAATTACTTATTTTTTGCTTCCATGCAAATTTTTAAGTATTTTCAATATTCTTATATGTGCGTACAAAAGAAAAGCCAATATATAAAAGGTTTAGAAATATTTTCATCATGCTGCATAGAAAAAAAGTTAGTCCTAAAATATTGCTGCGTGGCTAGCATGATCATTAAAAAGTAGTAAATTAAAATTTACTTTTCTCTCAGCTATATGCTCTATATATGTGTAAATGTTGAATAGAATAAGGATTATATATTTCTAAAAACAAAAAAACTGAATTTTTTCAACAATAGATATATATCTAAAGAACAGATTAGTTTAGAAATTCAATCTCTAAAACTAGATCACGATATATATTATATATATATTTTATAATGAAAAAAAAATTCTCGGGAAAAATCTCTAGAACTAAATCACCCGATTGTCTTACAATTTGTATTCTTACAAGTCAGATAAAATAATATATATATAAATGTTTCGTCATACATATGTATTCTATAGTATTGATTGAATAATAAAGAGATTTTTTTTCTAATTTACAATAGATCTATAAATATAATTTTTTCTCATTTATTAATAACAAACACTCAATTATTACTATTCTACGCAAAATCTGTACAACATGCAAAAGAAGCAAAGATAACTACATATATTTTTTTCAAGCATTTGCGAATAAGCAATCAGGAAATCATTCTTTAAAGAAACAAAAAATAAAATAAAATACGAAAATAAAATTTTTTATACAATGAATTTTTTTTTAAATAAAATTAGCTAACAAAGGGTTATGCTCCATGCAAGTAGATTATATGGAGATGAAGATAGTTTTGTTTTACCGAATATCTGATTAGGTCAAACATTCAACATAAACTTCGGTTTAAAATGCTCGAGATGTGATGAGCCTTATAACATTCAACGATTACGATGAAGCATGATAATTAAAATGAGATTTTAATATACGATTAGCGTCCTTTGTTAAATTTTATCAATTGTCTCGATTAAAAAATTATTTTATAATTCTGATTAAAAAAATACTATTTCTTTTATTTTCTATTACTTGCTTTCTTTGTTGATTTACTTTTAAATTTTCACAATCAGAAATTTATTAGATGAAATTTTTTTAAAAATTAAAAAAATTTTTTTTTTTGAAATTTTCTTTTGGATTAAAAAAGTACTTTCTTTTTTAAAAAATGAAATATGAAAAATTACTACATGAAACAAAATCACTTGCCTGGAGTGGTCAGAGTTTTCGCTTGCGTTGGTGTTGAATTTGGTCCAACTGATGATGCTGCCGCTGGACTATAAGCACGAAGAAGAGATCCTCCACGAGGAAGTGTACTGCTACCTCCAATATAATAATTGCCAGACGAATTTTTCACATTCTGCAAAATAAATAAATATTTTTTTAAAAATAAAAATCATAATAAAAAATTAATTTTTTATCTGTAAAATTATTATTTATAAATAAATTATGTAAAATGTTGCATAAAAAAAAATAAGAAACGGCAATTTAATTCGGGTAAATTTCAGACATACACGATGTAAATTGTAAAAAAGATACATTTAAGATTAACTAACAAAGGTAGATGGTACAATTGAGATTATTTAAAAAAAAAAAAGAAATAAAATAAAATAAAACGTTAATGTCAGTTGCTTGTCAACCTTGCGCCATTGTATTCCATTGGAGAACATTTATACACGTGTGCAATGGGTTTCAGACAAAATTTAAAAGAGCGGGGTCTACTTTTGAATCTGGTTATTCTGGCACGAGGTCTCTCCTTTTAAACTGTTTGGATTTCTTTGCCACAGGTGAGACAGGCTCGACCGATACGACAGTGTTCTTTTGTACACAATTTCAACTTGATGTTTTCAAACGTGGAATCAAGCGATCAACTTGCGATCAGTTAAACATTCTTTTAAAAAGTTCAAAAAAAAAAAAAAAAAAAAAGAAATAAAAAATATAAACAGAAGAAAAAAAGAAAGAAAAGGAAAAAATGAGAAAGTTACATTTCTCATTAAAATATTCTCTGATTGCTCTATTCTTGGTTACATACATAAACATGGAATCGATCCCTACCGGCAATAAAGGATTTTTGACAAGAAGACAATTCTTTGAGAATGAAAAGAAATTTCAAACTCCAATGCATAAGGTGCAATTGACGCAACGTGGATATATTCAGGTAACAATTTAATTATAATTATTAAAAAAAAAATTTAACAATTTATTTTTTCACTTTTATACTAAAAATTTATTTTTAAATTATTATTATTAATTTTTTTTTTTATTAATTTATTATTATTTTAAATTATTAGAAAAAATTTAATTTCTTTTTATTTAATTATAATTTTTAATCAAAAATTTATTAACCAATAAAATGTTATTAAAAGAAAATAATTACGAATTTAAAAATTGGTAAATTATATTTTTTACAAAGCAGATAAACGAGAGAAAAATAATTTTTTCCCTCAATTAGAACAAACGTAATTACTAAAAAAAAAAAAACTGTTTTCTTTTTAACGTTAAACAATTTTCGTTTGCTTTTGATTTTCACACCAATATTTGAAAATTAACATTTTTGATTGCGGGACTTTTATGAGAGCGTAAATTCAAAAGTACATATTACACATTTTTATATATCAGTTCACAAAGAATGAAATAATTATAATTTTTTTTTTTATTTAATTAATAAACAAAGGAAAATTTCTAAAATATTTTGTAAATAGTTTCTTAGATGGGGAATATCAGTTCCGGAAATTAATGAATTTACTTTCTGTCTTTGGATGCACTCGACGAATATGACATATGCTCAATCATTTTTTTCATATTCAAGTGAGTATATATAAATTAAATTATATTTTTAATATTAATCGTTGCTTTCATAATAATAAATTTTATTAATATTATTAAAATTATTTTAATTTAAAATAATATTAAAATAATTTTTAATATAAAAAAATATTAAAATAATGTTTAATATAAAAAAATAAAAATAAATTAATAAAATTAAAAAAAAACAAAAATTTTATAAAACATAAATTTTCTTTTTCAGAAAATGAAATGGAGCGCCAAATAAGGTCTTGGATATCGGCAGGTGGTGAAAAATTGTTTTTAGAAATAAATAATGTGGAAATTTTTGCACTTCCGTTTAAAATGGAGGAAAATCGTTGGTACCACTTTTGTCAAAGTTGGCAAAATAAAGACGGTCATTATGGCATGTGGATTGATGGAATACTTCAAACGGAAGGTTATAAAAAAGAGGTATACTAAAGACACAAAAAATAACGAAATTATAATAAAACATTAAGAAATTTAAAAAAAAATTAATTAATTGATATTAAAATTAAAAATATAAAATAAAAGAATAAAGAATTGAATAAAATAGAAATGATATTCGAAATTTTCAAACTGAAATTAATAACCTTTTTTTTCTATTGAAATTATTTTCAGATGATCGGATATGTCATTCCCAGTAAAGGAGATATTGTCGTAGGTCAAGAGTTTACCGACTTCGATAAAGGGCTCGAGGAAGGAATCGAAGGATCAGTTTTAGGATTCAATTTTCTACTGTCATCAGCTTTTCATTCACAGGAAATGACAACGTCAATCATAAAAAATCCACCATCATTGAATATTTTTTCCGCTTCACAAAAATTGATTAATACAAATTCACCTCAAGAATTAATAACTACGAATAATGCTCAAACATTAATTAATACAAATGCTCAAGAATTAATTAATTCTCAAGGATTTAATAATTTACGATTATTATTTAATGGAAGAGATGATTTCAATAATAATAATAATAATAATATTAAACGAAAATCATTTCAAAAGAGATCAACAATATATCAACAAAATCCATTTGTTTTCTATAAAACAAATGAACAAGGAATTTTTTTTGAAGAAAAAAACAATAATTTTGAAAATGCAAAAACAATGTTTCAAGTACCATTAGGATTGCAATTAATTACAATTTCTCATTCTCATTGTGAAATCGGACGAGGAAGTCCTTTTATTGGCGGGCATTTGATGTTAATTTCCTGGACAAGAACTCCCGTTCGAGTCTTTGGTGGAGCTATAGTGAAATCCGTCAATAGTGCGTGTGGTTATTTTTATTAAGAGAATTAAAAAAAAAAAAAAATCGAAATCATCCATGAAAAATTGAAAATAAAGTGTGCCAATCAGTTCCTATAGTATAGCGAATATATTTATTTTATTTATTTTAATTTATTACAATTATTATAACTATTATTAATTTTTATATAATTGTTATATAATTTTTATATAATTTTTATTTAATTATATATTAATTATATAACAATTATTTAATTACATAATAATAATTATAATTATTATTAATTAATAACTATTTAAATTAATTAAAAAAATATTTTTTGTAATTAATTTGAAATTAATTTTGTAATTAATTAAAATTCCGAGAGTAAGAAAATTAGAATAACGAATGAGAAAAGGAATATTATCTTATTGTCAAAATGTAAATCAATTGAATGATAAAAAATAGAAATTGCTTTTTTTAAAAAAAAAATCGAAAACAAATGGATTCATTATTTTAATATATGGCACAAATGTGTCAACTAGAATAGTAAAAGTTTCCTATCCAAACATTCCAATGATTCAAATAAATGAAATGTGGAAAGTGCATGCATATACATTTCTTATTTCGCTAAGACTGATGACGATGACCGCGATTTCGCCACGAAATTAAGTGAGATTTTTTTTTCTCTTTCTATTATTTCTTTTACACTAGAAATGATAAAAAAAATTCCCCAAATTCTATAAGAGGAAAAAAAAAAAAAAAAAAAAACTTGCCAATTTTAATCTCTAACGTTTCTATTTCTAATTATAATTCCTTAATTTATCAATGTCGTTTCATTCAAAAATTTATTCGCAAAAAGGTTAAAGTAGAAAAAAAATTTAAATAAAAAAATGAAAGTGTGTTAAAAAATTAATTTTTGTAATAATAATAATAATAATAATAATAATAATAATAATAATAATAATAATAATAATAATAATAATAATAAATAATAAAAAAAATAGAAAAGGAAAAAATATAATCGAAATAAAAGATAATGATTCAATTGCGAAAATTATTCAACAATGACGTAATAAAAACCTGAATGAAACGAGACATGTCAAAAAATTTTTCCAAATCGTGCATCTCTCAAATGTCTGAGAAATGATTTCTTGGTTGCTATCGTATAATTTGAATCAATGATTCAAGTGAATGATATTTGGCCTCTACGCCTAACCATTATGAGCGCACTTTCACCTCAATATAAATATATATAAAATAACTTCAAGATCCGTACCGCATTGTAATAAAGGTGTGCATATACGCGTTGTCATGTCAAATGTTGCCCGCCTCAATGGTAATTCTCAAGTTGACAAGTTACCATGAACTTGTCGGGACTTTTTTTTCCGCCAATGCCGCGGTTTACTTTCACCAAAAAAATAAAAGAAAAAAAAAAAAAAAAAATACGACAGTTACCTTATATGCAGTAACAGAGGGGCATTAAAAATGTGAATACAAAATTACCATTTAAAAATAACAATTTTCCATTTACTTCCCTTTTTGCATTATATCGAAATATTTGAATTATATTCGCGGGCAAATTATTTCAAAGGACGGCAATCTAAATATATTATACGCTTTTCAACATATTTTGCATATATTTAATTCAACAAATTACTATAGGTTTATTAAATAAACAAAATTAAATATAAATAAATTTTAATAAATTAAAAATGTTATTTTTTAAATATTAATTTCAGAAACGAAAATATTTCATAAATTTCAAAAAAAATGCCAGACGTTAATGAATTGGCATTTGAATGCAATTTATAATTTAAGGAATATTGTGTCTATTAAGGTTTGATTTGTCTGGTCCACTTATTGAAAGGAATTGGAAAAATGTTATTTTTCCTGTTTAGCAATCAAGTTGAAATTATGCCTATTTACGGAAACTGGACAGTTATCTCACGATTACAAAAGCTTTTTACACATCGTCATTCCCACTAAGCAGGACAGTCAAGTGCACTCAGAATTAATTACATCTACTTTCTATAAAAGTATAAAAAAAAGAAGTTGTTTGTCGTTTGATCTTTTCTTTTTCTGTTTTTTTTAGATCAATTATAAAATATATATATTTAAACAAAATATTGCTTCAAAAAAATAAATATTTTCATTTTCATTTGTTTTTTAACTTTGAAAATTTTTATTTAGTAACTTAACACCAATTTGTTAATTTTTAACACTAAAATTTACTTTCTCATTTTTACACGAAAAAAATTTAACTATTGTTAAATAAATAGTTTAATCAAATTATAAAAATAAATTTTATCATTTCTACACTGAAAAAAATTTATTTGATTCAAATAATCGGTTACTTGACTATTATCAAATAAATATTTATTTGTATCAAATAATTATTATTTGAGTCAATTAAATAGAATTTGTTTCAAATAATAATTATTTGTATCAAATAAATAATTATTTGTATCAAATAAATAATTATTTGTATCAAATAATTATTATTTGAGTCAATTAAATAGAATTTGTTTCAAATAATAATTATTGGTTCAAATAGAATTTATTTAATTTAAATAAAAAATTATTTGGCTCAAGAAAATATTTATTTGATAGTCAAGTAATCGAGTATTTGAATCAAATAAAAATTTTTTTTTTTCAGTGTATATTTGAAACAATAAAATCGAATAAAATTAATTCAATAATTATTTGAACAGAAATAAATATTTTTTTTTAAAAATAGTCAAGTATATAACAATTATTATAAAAAAATTTCAAATAACTAATTAATATAAAACAATATTTTTTTTTTGTAAAAAAACCTAATTTAACGATTACGTAAGTTTCTCAAACCCCTTATCTCGCGTCTAATGAATTTTATAATGAATTTAATGTCCAACATTACTTTATTACATGGTGTGTTTTTCTCAATTTTTCTCAACTAAAGGACGTGTAATTCTACAACTGCCGTTTCTGTCGAATGTGGAATTCATGAATTCGTTTTTTTTTATAAAGTTAAACGCAGTTTGATCAGAAAAATAACGCAATGTATCGAATGTGCGCAATGGAGTTTTATATTGAATTGCTTCAGGGGGGAAAAAAAACGTCCGGGGGGGTTTTTTTTTATATGACAAATCAAGACAAAGAATCCTTGATATATATAGCACTTATAAATTTTATTCCTTTTCTCTCTTTTTTTTTTTTTTTTGAATAATAAAATAAAAAATAATTTTTTTTGCGCCTATATAATTTTTTTCAATTTTCGCGCGCATGTAATTTAAATTTGTTTATAAATGAATGAAAGTTCTTTGCGCATATATAAAATACGAGTGTAATGCAATTTCATGAGTCGTTGTTTTCCTTCAATAAACGTATATAGACAATAGCATTCTCTTCCTTACTAACATTCCTATGCAACGAAGGTGGATAATAAATTCTTTGAAAAATCATGTAATACTTTAATCATTTCAGCATTCCGTCAATTTAAATAATCTTATTATAAACATTATTAATGCAACCCTTTAAAAAAAAAAAAGTTGCTTCAATTATTTTTGCTCTATATATATAATTATCGACATTAAGTATTATGAAATTTAAAACTAAATGCTAACAAAGTAATAAGAAAAAAAATCAAAAACAAATAAATAAAAAATGATAAATATAAAATAATAAATAAAAATTAATCAACATCAATAAAAACATAAACAAATTAAAAAAACAGTAAATAAAACTAGAAAAAAGTCAATGAAAAATAAGAAAAAATAATAAATAAAAAATAATAAAAAATAATAAATAAAACTAAAATATGTATAGTAAAGGAAAAATAATTATTAAAACCTAATAAATGAGAAATAATGAATATAAAGTGTAATAAATATAAAAAAAAAATATTAAAATCTACAAGAAACAAAGTAAATAAAGAAAATCGAAATTGCAAGTTTTATCAAATGATCATAAAATTTCAATTCTGTTTTTATTGCATTCGACACGAAACTCGATTTTATAAAGTAATTAGTTTTCATGTCGAATTTCTCTAGGTCGCAATAATAATAACAACATATTTAATTCTCGAATGATTGCATGATTAAATTTTATTTTTTTTTCATCCGGTTTAAATTTCAAAATAAATATATATATTTTTTTAAATTTCTAATAAATGAAAAGTTAATGAAAATCTAATTTTAATCAATGTATTTATAATAAAGGAAAATAAAAATAAATTAAAACAGTAATAATAAAAAAAAAAATACTTTCTCTATAATGATTAGAAAATTATTAGTCCTGATAAAGATCTAATTGTAATTTTTGATACTTCCGCAATTTGTCATTATTAACTATTTAAATTCATCAATTATTGTATAATTGACAAAGTCGCATAAAGTTTATTCTAATATTCACATTAATAAAAAAAAAAAAAAAAAAAAAATTATGTAATTTTATGCAATTACATAATTTAATGCTACAATTTTGTTAAATCGAGAGCTCCAATCACAATAATTTCTCAAAGTGAAGAACTGTCATTCTATTTAGATATGATCATTTATATTTACAATCATTCAGAAATCAATCATTTAGAAACATTAGCTGTGTATAAATTTTCCCGTGAGAAAAATTTTCAATTACACAATTTTTCAACCTCTTTTCAAATATATAGTTTGAGATTTGAATGTTCGATTCTTTCTTTTGTTACAAAATAGACGCGATATGACAGAGAAACCTTTTAGGTAATGGACCACCAAGAAATGGGAATTGCAATATATCTATATATGCGAAACGGGAAAAAAAAGAAAAGAGAATAAAAAAAAAAACTCAGTAAAAATTAAAAATATATCAAAAGAAAGGTATTACTTTTTCTTATCTATTTTTAATTTAAAAAGTAAATTAAAATGGGTAATAAAAACAATAGAAAAAGAAAACAAATGGAAACTGTAACAGAATGCAGTCAAAGCTGGTTAAGTGAGATCTCGACAGATAATTTTTAAAAAGAATTTTTAAAAATTAATTTGGAAAAGAATTTTCAAAAAGATTTTTTAAAAAGAATTTTTAAAACTAATTTTTAAAAATAAGTTTTTAAATAATTATTTTTAATTAATAATTGTTGCTTTTAAGGTCTCAGTAACTCGAGATCCAGTGAATTTATAATAATGTACCCCGAGGAAAAAATTTGATTTAAATAATCGGTTACTTGAATATTATCAAATAAATATTTACTTGAACCAAATAATTTTTTATTTGAATTAAATAAATTATATTTGGACCAATAATTTCTGTATTTGAAACAAATACTATTTAATTAACTCAAAAATTATTTAGTTCAAGTAAATATTTATTTGATAATAATCAAGTAACCGAATATTTGAATCAAATAAATTTTTTTTTTTTCAGTATACAGTTGAACCTTGTTAAGTGATTTGTCTGATTAATTAGGTTAATACAAATAACTTTAGTTATTTTTTTATAACATTAATTAATAATTATTATTTATATTAAAAATTCTTGAATGACTCAATAAAAGAGGTGGAACTGTCTTTTTTAAAATATCAAAATCTCACTTAGGCGAGTTTGACTGTATATCTTTATCGTCATTTTTACAATTCCTATGTTTCTTTATCGCCATTTATTATTTCCACTTCCTATTATTGCCTAATAAATACAGTAACAAAAAAATAACAATAGAAACCAATTTTAAACAAAATTAGAAAACAGCGAAGCAAAACAGCCAAATATAAAAAATAAAGACAACAATGGAATACTCTAATTTTGACTGACGTCTATACGATAAATCTAAAGAATGAACAATTTTCATTTGTTTTCTAGAAACAGAAAATTTCCATTTTTTTTTCCTTTTTTTTAATTACACATTATTAAATGTACAAAAAATATATTTGTAACAAATGTGGGAATCAGAATATGATGAAAAATGGTACATGATATAAGAAATAAAAGTGCAAAATTCATAACAATTGTATATGTTGTAATCAATGTCCAAATATTCATATATCCGGACGTGAAGGTTTTCCACGCAGTTCCTATCAGACATGTTACACGTTGAGACTTTATTATTATTGTAAAAGAGAGAGAAGAAAAAGTAATAGGTAGGAGGTCCCTCATGGGTTTGCAGAGGTGTATAGAAAACACTAAGATCACTTGAAACAGTCAGTTACCTTTCCGTTTTAATACCGTAAGGATCTACCAGTCACGCGAGCTTTCGGATCTCTCACTTCCACTCTCTTGATGTAAGTCATGAATAATCGAGTCTATTGGAAGTCAACTGTATCTAAATACGTTTTTTTCTCTCCTATTTTTTTTTTTTTTTTTTTCTACATTTTTATACCAAAAAAACCGGACTGATCTAATTTTGCCCTCCCTCTTAATTTTTCATTTTTTAGTTAATTATAGAATAAAAATAAGTTTACTTTTTGAAAAATTAATTGTTCTGTGTGTTGTTCATCATCATGTGGATAAAATTTTATTTGTGCTAAAAAAAATATTTATTTTAATGAAACGTTTGATAAGGATGGCTTGATGAAAAATGTTTGCTAACAACATTTAATAAAGTATGTAATAAAGATATTTAATACAAAAATCTTTTGAAAGAAAAATTTTAATAAAAAAATATAAATAATTAATTAAAAAAATATTTTTCATATATTTATTTAAAAAAAAAATGTAATATTCAAGGAAATATTTTTTAATAAAAATTTGTATTAAAAATACTATAAAAATTTATATATAGGTCTACTTAATAAATATTTCCAAGAATCTGTTTTACTCCACTGTATATATATGTATATGTAAAATGGAAAGAGATCTTGATTTGTTTTATCATTTTCCCAGACTCATTAAGAAATCGTAATGAGTTATTTCCATAATCGTGCAATTTTTTTTCATCAGTTAAAAACTATCAAGGAACATGAAAGTAGAATAATAATTCAAATTTCCAACTGTAAAATTCTAAATTTATATTACAAAATTAAAAGCACTTATTTATTATTAAAAAAATGCAGAAAATAAAAACTAATTTTTTTAAATACTTTCAATATCAAATTAAATATTTAAATATTTTTCAAGTTTTAAGGAAATTAATATTTTAAGAAAAAAAAAATGACAGTAAAATTTATTTATAAAGAAAATAACGTTTCTCTTTTTGAAAAAATTCAATCTCTCACAAGTATTTATTACTTTTTTTCAAGTAGAAAAATTATTTATTATTTTTGATATAAATCACTTGAATCTCAATAAAATTCCGGACTTCCGACAACAATACCTTTTATTAGTATTTGTACAATAAATTTTTTTCTGCATTTTTATAAAATAATTCTTTGATATTTTTCAAATTAAATTAAAATTCGATTGAGAAAAATTTTGTTGACCTAATCGAAAAATATGGTGCATAAATAAAAAGGAAAAATTTCTCTTTATGTTTTCCAATGTAAAAAAAAATAACTATAGCTTACAGATAATTTTCCAACAAAATAATATTAAAATTATTCCTTATTTTATAAATATTTACAAAGTTGATGGTAATTTCAATACGTTATTGTTATTGTTTCAAGAAAAAAAAAAAAATTAAAAAATTCCGCAAAAAAAAATTTCTAATTCGTTTTGAAAGGGAAATAGAGAAATGAACTTATTTAATTTTTTTTTTTTTTAAAGAAAATTATCGTTTGTTTGAAAGTCCAATGATCGTTAGCGTTAAAACAGGTGATTTAGTATTTATTGCCGGTGGTTATATGTCTTACATTATACATATCTGAACAAATCTATGTATACTTTCAATAAAAGAAAATTAATATATTTTAACTGTCATTAAGAAAAATGAGAAAACTTTTGTGAAAAATTGAAACAAAATAATTGCTTACTGATTTCGAACTAGATTATTATCATCATTTCGAAGACGAAAAAAAAAAATTAGCTAACCATAAGATACTCTCTAAAAAAATACAAATCGTTTGCAAAATCATTGAAATTTCACTTAATTTCCCTAATTTTAAAAACCAATAATAATTTCATAAAAGAAATTTATCCTTATTTTTAAATAAATTTTGATTTACAAAAAAAAAATTTTTTTTAATTTTTCTTTTCCTTATTCACATTTTGATAGTATTTGTTTACTTTAAATACAAAAGACATTTCTATAACAATAGTAAATTTATGTGTTATGAAAATAGCCGGAAGTGGGTATTTTTTTCACTTTTTAAAAAATATTTCTATATATATATAAAGTTCTATGCGTTTCTGTACAATTTTTCAAATACGATAATTTGTTTTAGAAAATCACAGTCATTGATAAATACTATTTATACTTTCACTGTTTCTTAGCATAGGGAAATAATAAATTCCACGACTTTTTTTTTATCATCTATTAGATTAATCTGTATTAAAACGATTCACAAAAAAAAAGGTGGGGAAAATTTTGTGTGACCTCTTTTTATATATATATTTCCAATGAAATTAACATTATAAACCAACTATTTTACAATAAAATTTTATTTCTAATGTAGTGAAAAAAAAAATTAGTCCAGAGATCAAAGAAACTATATATAATATAAATATAATTTAATGTACCGTAGGAAATTATGTAAAGACAATTTCCTTTTCAAAGAACAGAAACATATTGTTCTCAAGTTCCATCAACAAGTTTCAATTTCATTCACTTTTTTCAAAAAAATTTTTTCATTTCTTCATTTTGAATTTCTCGTGTTTCAACTTTTTTTTTCACTATATATTAGAATAGAATTCTATATTTTGCATTGTGGTTGTATGTAACTGTATATTTTCAATGTAAATATCCTTTGTATTTTTTAAACTTATTTTAAAAAATAGGGTAAGTGCATCAATTACGGCGCGATTATAAAAAAATGACTATTATTATTATTATATTTAATATATAAATGTTGCATAATTAAAAAAACACAGAAAATTAAAAGGCATTAAAATAAGTTATTATTTTAATCCAATTTTGCTTATTTTAATACCAAAATAGATTAAAATAAGCAAAATTGGATTAAAATAATAACTTATTTTAATGCCTTTTAATTTTCTGTGAAATTATTTTAATCTTTGATACAATTACTAATAAATATTGCATATTTAAACAATTATTAATTTAATTATTTGAGATGAATTTTTTTTTCAAATCGCCGTAATTGAAACATTAAGATTTCCATTGGCTCTAATTACGATGGGCGGTATCTTCAAAATACACTTATCACCGTAATTGATACACCGAAACTGATACAAACGCGCCATAATAGAAAATTACGATATTAGTTTTTCTATTTCATTTTTAACTCGAATCGCGTCGTAATTAGTGCATTTATATCCTACTTTATTATAAAAAATACATTATTTTAAGAAATATATTTTTCTAAAGTAGAGGATATAATAAATTTTAAAGATTGTATATCAGTATGTTTCGCGATAAAAAAAAAAAATATATATATATATATATATATATATCTGACCATATAAGTTCTTTGATTCAACTTCCGGAAGTTTGCATCATAAGTCTGTCGGTTTACCCCATCGATTTATCATTTTGCTGGGAACAAACTGAAACTCACGCGGTAATAGGTGTACAATCGCTTTAGTAATATAAAATTATATTCCTCTATATCCTGATGATAAATAATAGAAAATCAATTTAATAGAAAAATCAATTTTTTTTTTGACATATCGCAAAAATTCAAATTTTTTTATTCACTTAAAATCACGCATACAAACGCAAAAATTTATGTAAAATTCCTGGCACCTACAACAGTTGGCGTAGCACACAATTTAATAACTCATTTTGTCTTTAAGAGCCTCTAAAAATGTATATGGAATGAGAAGATTTACATCAATTCTAACATTGAATAAGAACATATATATATGAAAAACGCATAATTCTTTTAAGAGAAAGTCAATTTCTTATACTTTCTTGCTAAATTTAATTCAATAAAAAAAAAACGTGAGGAATATTCACTATACTTTGGAATCAAAATTTTATTTTCATCCTCCTTATATTTCAAGTCAAAACAAAATTGAAAATAAAATTCGCAATCAAAATTTTAGGTGAAAGGACCCAAACTATTGTTAACAAAAAAAAAAAACTATTCTAAAGAATGAGTTGTAACAGTTTTGAGGGTCAATATAAAGAGAATTATTTTCCCGAAATATGTCTCAAGACTTGTTTCTTTGTTTTGTTTTTTTTTTTTTTTTATACAATTAAAAACTAAACAGAGAAAGTGTAACAAACTCATACATTGATTGGTTAATTACAATCACACGGGAGTTTTACATCCTGCGTGTAACGGTCTTATGATGTAAGAAATGCTATGTGTAATCGTCTCGTTTCATCTCTTTTCAATGCCTCAAGGAGAGTATATTGGACCAATTGCGAAATGAGAACCAATCGTTTACTTCAAGTCAACCTAATTAAGAATGATTTAACGTTTTTCCTAAAACGGTTCACCAGGTTCAATCAGCGCAACGAAATGATAAAAGAATGTGCCTACTATAGTAATAATAATAATAATGATAATTATTATGAAGCATCTAAGTGCAAAGAATTCGTTTAATGACTCGTTTACAATAAACGAGAATTGCGAAAAAAATACCAAGCTTTTAATTACACCTTCCGCGTTCTCTATATAAATAAAATCAGTCTCGTTATACAGAAAGAGGATTTACTGCAGAAAAGATTCACAATAATTTTTAATTTCCATATTAAAAAAAAGGTTCTAAAATACTACAAAAAAAAGAAAATAATAAATTACAATAAAAAAAAAAATAATTTCCGCGTAATGACGAATGACGTAACAATTTAATGAATAATATGCAATATTTTAGTGGACAGTAAATAATGTTTCTATATTTTATTTCCTTTTCTATACAGTATCAACTATAATGAAGTGGAACGAAGTGTTAGTTATTTTATGGATCATCTTTTCACCTTCAATTGCAGTTTCCTCTTCCTGGAGACCGGTTGTACCATCGCAATTGGGTATTTTACATCAAGATACATCAATTTATGGAAATTCACAATATGATAATGAAAATTTTTTTGGACAAGAAAATGATCAATGCGCCCTTTACAAGGTTGCAATGAATCAACAATTATATTTCGAGGTAATAAAAAAAAAAAAAAATTAAAGTAATACACGTGAGTTTATAATTATCAACCTTGATTTATCTCAAGGCAAAAATTTCATAATCGCGCGATTATATTTCCCATGAAAAATTATATTTCAAATTTCCCCAACGCAAATTATCTCATAAGCAAACATCTATATATATATAGATATAGATTTCACACATTATATACATCCGTGGTTGGTTGTGCGACCTGTTTATATTTATTGCACCTGCTTTACTTGTTCACTCCAGTTTCTAAGGCAAACATTCATTTCATTTTTACTCCTCGGGGCATATACACAATTATTATCGAAAGACCATTCAAAGCTTGCGAACGCATTCAACGCGATGGAATTCCATTAGGAAATCAATATTCTTCACGATTCAATTTTTATATTAATTTTTCAATTTTTCTTTTTCTTTTTTTATTTGACATTTTTTAATTCATTTTTCATTTTTTCTAATTTTTCATTTCATTTTTTTCTTCTATTTTTGAAAGACTGGAAAAAAATATGAAATTTTAAAATAGATCTTTGGGAGCAATTTAAAAATATTTTTAATGCAATTTATTCTTAAATTTATTTAATAAATTATGAAAAATATAATTAAATTTTTTTTTAATATTCTAAATTAATATATTTTTTAATTTCTATTTTAATAGTATACAGATCAAAAATCGCACTAAAAGATCCAATCCTACACCCAAAGAAAAGATATATTTGTCTCAGAATCAACTAGACTTTTTATTTGTTTGAAATAAATTTTATTTTGTTTAAATAAAATTTTATTTGTCTCAAATATATATTTTATTTATATTTGTTTAAATAAAATTTTATTTGTCTCAAATATATATTTTATTTATATAGAATAAAATTTTTATTTAAAACAAATAAAAAGTCTAGTTGGAGCTGAGACAAATATACGTTTATTTAACTCAAATATATTTTATTTGGTTCAAATAAATCATTTCTTTGGGTGTAAAAGGAGAATTAAATGGATAATCAAAACAAAAATTATTCCAGCTTGACATTTTTATTTTAAAAAAAAATAATATAGTAAAGATGGTAATTATTTTTTCTAAAATGAATCTATTTAAAAAATTTTTATTGTTATTAATAATTTTAAAAAATATTTAATTAAAATGTTTTTTCACTAAAAGTGTAATTTTCTTTTTAATAATTTGAATAATTAAAAGTTGATTAAAAATTTCCCACAAAATAAGAAACAATATAAAAATATTTACCTAAATTGTTTCCAATTGTCATGGAAATGCTAATTTTTAATAATTAATCAATTTTTTTCAAACCAATAAAAATTAAATTATTTATACTGAAACATAAAGAAAAAAAATTACTAAATCACTAAATTTTTTTTTAATAAAAAATATTGAATTAAACTAACTTTTGTTTCGATTCTTTGTCTCATTCTTCCCAAAGAATAAATTGCATTAAATTATTCAATAAAATAATTCTCAAAGATATACTAAAAAAAAAATTAATTCTTAAATAATAATAAATAATTTTATTATATTTATCCAATAAACTTTTAAAACGAATAAATTTTGTTCTATGGTATATTTTATACATAACTAATATAAACTTTATATTATATAGATTTTATATATTTATTTTATAATAGATTTGAAAAACGCGCAGTTATGTTATAATAATTTATTTATTTTTTTCTTGTGTAATTTAAGTTGCCTATTTATTACAACATATATAGTTATGTTATATATAGTTAAATTAAACAAAACTATATGCTACGTGGGTAAATATGTTTCACGACTCACAATTCATAATAATTCTGTTTTCTTTGGACGCGCATTCACTGGCATCTTTCTATGTTACATTTACGTTTACGGGAATTATTTTTGCATAGGCAAAACTGAGCTATATAATTCTTTACATATATAAGCTACAAGTGAGAAAAATATTGCAACAGGTTCGTGTGCAAGTATATAAGACTCGATAATGGAATTCGTTGAGCAAGGCAGTCAGCAATTTATTACATTATTTTAAAAAGTAACTTTTTTTTTTATGTAATCCTTTAAGGATGAGATTAGAAATCAAATTTGTTGATTTTAAAAGAAGTTATTTTTTATAATAAAAATTCAATTACTAAATTTATTTTTCTATTGTTTTTTTTTCTTTTTTTTATGATTCATTGCACTTTACGTAAATGCAAATTTACCTAATGCTTGAATAATTTTAATAACTAATAGTGATAATTGACCAATACTGATCTAGTTAAATAAATCTAACTTTTTTATACCGATTTTTTTTAACCCTTTGATAACTGACTTTTTTTATAATTAAAAAAAAATAACGGTATTTTGTTAAAGAAACAATTAAAAATTAATTAAAAAAATGGTGCGAAATATAAAATTAAAAAAATCGAATACTAATTATACGATAATTACAAAGGTGTACGTTTACTGGACGTTTAAGTACTTTGGAATTTCTTAATTTGAAATCAAGTAACATTTAATTGCACCAGGATCCTATATATACTTTCACAGGGCCTTTCCGAAATATTTTCAACTCGTCATTCTTGGTCATAAAAAAAACCAGGATCCTGAATATATATTTTTTTGGAAAGTCTCAAGTTTATTGCATAATATTCGTGCAAATTTTATATATTCACTCTTCAATAATAGAAAGCAAATGATTACTAATGCAAATTATTTTTATTTAATAAGTGTTAATTAACTATTATTACTTTCCTATTGTTACATTAATTTCCTACTATATATAATTTCTTACTAAATTAATAAAAAATATAAAAAATAATTTAAAATTAATATTTATTATTGGTATTTGTTACCTTTCTTTTTTTTAAAAATAATTTAATTAGTATTATATGAATTATATATTTAACAAAATGATTAGTATCTTCAGAATTGCGCTATCGATAAAAAAAAGAAAGAAAGATAAACGCGAGTATTTAAACCAAAACCTGAATAAATTAAATTTAACTGCGATTAATTAAGTTATATAACCAATGACTAATTGAATTTAATTTTCAGTACATTCAATATAAATTGGAATTCCCATCGATGAAGGAGTTCACTTTATGTATGTGGACAAAATTCAAGAATCATACAAATGATCACGTACTTTTTTCCTATGCAGGTATTATTTAATAATTTTCTAACAAAAACAAATATTTAGAAAATAATTTTTTAAAAAAAAATTAGCATTTAGCAAAGTATTAATTTAAATTAGAAATTAATTTAAAAAATGTAATTGCCGTCATGTTAAGTAACAATTGTTTTTTCAATGGAAAAAGTGAGAGTACTATTTGAAACTCGCGTAATTAATTGTACCCAACTAATTATCTAATCAAGTCAATAAAGTCAAGGTAGAATTTTTAGAAAAAAAAAATTCCATTTCTATATAAATAGATAGTATTTTTTTGTAAGTAAATTGAACGTGAGAGAGAGACATTAGTAACGAACGTGATTTAGAATTAATATGGAATTTATTTGAAAAAATTTGCATACTTGTTTTTTGCGATTTCAGTGGGTATTCAACCGAGGGGTATATTATCATGGGTAGCAAACACTGCAAGGAGTTCATATTACATGCTCAACATAGATGGACATAACCTTTATAGATTAAATTATCCTTTAAGATTGAATAAATGGTACCACTCCTGTCAGAGTTGGAACGGACATACGGGAGAATGGCAGATCTGGGTCAACGACGAGCGTGTAGGTCGAGGGTTCAATAACAGGGTAAGTTTTTAAAGTCTTCGGCGTTTCAATCTAATAATTCAAGCGCAAGGAATTTTGTAATACAATATAACGAGAGTCTACCCTATAGTCATTTATTATCGGTTTGTGTTTTAATCCGAGACAAAAAAACTTAAATCACACTTTGCCGCATAAATTTTTCTCCCACGAGTTTTATGTTCTTTCAATATTAACTTTTAATTTAAAAATACAATTTTCCAAACGAAATCTATTTTTTTTTCTTTTATAGAAATAATAAAAATATAAAAAATTTATTTGATACAAATATTCGGTTACTCTATTATGAAATAAATATTTACTTGAACGAAATAATTTTTATTTGAGTCAAATAGTATTTGTTTCAAATACAATTCAAATAAAAATTATTTGATCAAGAAAAATAATTTTAAGGAAAAAAAAAAATAAAAATTAAATTTCAATGAAAAAATTTCGAATTAAAAAAAGAGAACAAAATTAATAAAAAAAATATGTAAATAATTATTAGTACTATTATTACAGTAATAATAGTGTTAAAAAATAATTATAATAATTTATATTATTATACATGGTATAATACATAATTATAAATATTATAATTATTACAAAACATTATTACATTATAATATTACGATAATAATATGACACTGATTTGAACTAATAACGCTAATTAAAACGGAAATTGTCCATTCTATTGAACTATTGACACGAAAATTGTGACATAAAATTAAAACCGGTATTAGACGAAAAAAAAAACCCAACTATTAAATTATTCACTTAATTTGGCTGATTTTCAACTAAGTTATTTTATTTTCAAAATTAATAATTAATATTCTGTAACTGGTTCGCGGGTTACTGGAGGTCACGAAATTCTGGAAAGTCCAGAGGAATTAAAATAAAACGGTCAGGGAAAGTTAGGAATTGTCCTGAAAACACACGAAGGAGAGAATCAGTTCGCAGTTTAAAGATCCACAGAAACAGAAATTATTGTAACACTATTACGTGTTCAAGTCAGCGTAAAAAATTTTTTTTTTCTTAACTTTTTTTTCATAAAAAAAATTCCTCTTTCGTTATATACAAAAAAATAAAAGATTTAATCTGAAATAATTTCTTTTCCTCTAAAAATAGAAAAAAAAAACCGTTGACATTTCATATATGCTTTGAATTATCTAGAGCATGTTTAACCTAAATTGATGTCAATTAATTTTTTTTTTTATTTTTATTCAAGTAACCAGACGATTCGTGATTTTTATTTATGAAACCGAAACTAAAAAAAAAATTGTCTAACAATTGAAATGCGGTGAAATGAATTTCTAATTATGAAAATAATAGAATATTTAGTACTCCCATTATATAAAAAAAAACAAGCGGGAAGAGAGAGAAAGATTTAAAGATTCATTAATATCCTCTAATTATATCTAGGAAAATAGACACCTCGCAGTCTGTAATTAGTGAGATTAGTTCATGATAAAACTTTTTCATTAATATATATATTTTTTTAAATCAGATTTTTATAATTTTTCTTCTTATGTCTTATGTGAAAAAGAATTTATTTTTAACAAAAAAAAATTCATAAATATGTTTATAAAAGGAAAATTAGATTCAATACTTATAACAAGATAAATATATCTTTAACAGCTAATAAGACGAAAATAACTTTTTTACGGCTGACAAGAAGAAAATATTTCCCCCTATATATTAATAGCTACAAAAGTTATTTTTTATTACAAATCGTTAAAAGTATGAATTTTTTTTTCTCAATTTACAGTACAAAAAATTATTTTCCTTTTAAAATTACTCTTGTTATAAATTGTTAAAAATTGGATTTGTAAACAAATTATTTAAAAAAAATTACTTTTAATATTTTCTCGTTACAAATTGTTATAGAAAAAAAAAATTTCAAACAAATTGCTCTAAAAAACAAAAATATAAATGAATCGTTAAAATATATTTTTTTTAACACTTTATGAACACTTTTTAATGTCTTAAACTTTCTTGTTCACAAAAAACATGAAAAAAAATATAGAAAAATTATAAGAGAAAAAAATTTTTTGTTTCTAATAAAAATTATTTTTATTTCGTTAACATTCTTTCTCTAAATTGTAATAATATTATTTATCAATAATTTTGCTCTTTTAAATAATAATAATTATTTGCTTCAACATTTTTATTCATTTTAAATAAATGAAAAAATTTAAATAAACTACAAAATAAATAATTATTTATCTCTCTAATTTTGAATTAGTGACTCACTTTTTGCTTCTCAATTAGTAAAATTAAACTAATTATTAGTAACTTTTACTAACAGTTAGTAAAATTTAACTAATTCTAAAGCAAAAAGTCTAATTTAAATTAGTAAACATTTTTACTAATTCCGATTTAGAGAATAAAAAATAATTATTAATTTTTTTTTTAACAAGAAAAAATAAATTTAAACGATAAAACAAGATTCGAATCTAAACTTTCCTGTTGGCATGAAAAATAGACTTTCGTATCAATTGGAATATGAAAAATGGACATTTTCACTCTTTTGCCCTCACACACATATATAGAATGTCATGAATAAATCTATTTGAATTTAATCCCCGCCTATATATATATAGAAATCTGATCGTTTTGATTTCCGTCTTAGATAAAAGCCGACACTTCCAATTTTCTCGTACTTAATCTGGCTCTTGTCCAGATACACCTACTATGTACTATATAACAAATAGCCGTTTACTCGCATGTGATTACAGGTCGTCAATGTATTTTCAAGTACACGCGCGCGCGCATAATTTTTCTTTGTATAAACATTACTTTTTTTTTCCTTTTTTTTTTTTGTTAGCGTATATGAACGTGCAAAACACGTTCTCGAAAGTTAGCGCGGCGTAACCGGCGAAAGTATTATTTGCAACGATGTTAAAGCAGCAGTTATTTCGGTTAGTCACGGTAGTCAACTGGTCTAGCATTGTTTACACGTACGACTCATATAAAGATCTTTTCATTCTATTGTTTTAATGTAATCTCTCGCTAAACGCGCAAAGAATTATTTCGCGGTGTACGCTTCCGGCACTTTCCGATCACACGTTTTAAACGTACCTTTATCCGGACTATTGTACATGCTACCATCATCATCATCATCATCATCATTTATATGTATATATATACAGATTGGCCGCGGCCGTCAAACTCAGCGAACCGTAAAAGTGATATGATCACTAACCAGTTAGAAAGTCATTTTTTCAAATCGCAACTGATGCGGAAACCTTTATAATATATGTAATTATCAGAAATTATATATGATGGCTAAACGCATCCATTTTTAGTAAACCTTGAAACGTTGTATATATATTTTTTAATGCCAAAGTTATCGCACCAGACGAAAAAAAAAAAATCTTTCTTTTAATTTAAATTGCGTTATTACGTGGACAAATAAGGTTATACTGAAAAGTATTATATATTTTTATCGCGAGCGTTACAGGCAATTAAATGTTCATTGATCCTCTCGAAAGAAACTTTAAAGTTCATTAACTTTTTTTTTCAGTTTTTAAAATCATATTCTTTAAATTAATGCAATATAATAATTCCCAAAATTTCTTTTCTTTCATTCTTCTTGCATAAAATAAATCGATTCTAAATAATAATAATATTAATAATAATAATAATAAAAATAATAAAATAAATTAAGGAAACAAAATCGACATTAGCAATGTAGACAGTACTAGTAAAATTAATGACGTGTAAATTACTCCTTTTTTTGAAAAGAAACAAAAGCGATTTTAATTATTTTAATTAATTAATTGTTCAATCAGTGATCTATTTTTTTTACAGTTGGTTGGCCACGTGATAAAAGGAGGGGGAATCGGAATTTCCGGTCAAGAGCAAAGACAACTTGGAGGAGGATTTCTCGAAGGAGAAGGTGCACCTCCAGGTAAATGTTAAAATTTAAAAACAAATTTCTCCACAAATTCTCAATTTAAAAATTAAAATTGTAATGAAACTGCAAAATTAATTCAACATCAATTTAATATAAAATTAATTAAATAAAAACAAAAATTAAATTAAATATCATTAATTTATATATAATTATTATAATGTATACCATTAATTTGAATTATTTAAATTTAAATTAATTGATTAATTTTAAATTAAATTTCACTCAATGTCTTTTTTTTTTTTTTTTGCATTTTCATCTACTGAATAAATTAAATGTAATCGTATGTTTTATATAAATTGCAGGCTCAGGTGGAATGCTCGGAGAAATAACTATGGTACAATTGTACGGTGTAGCTTTAACGGCAGGGAAAGCTCATCGAGATCATAAGCATCATCATGTTCATCATTATGAACACGATACGAGCAATAATGTTCCTCCTTCAACAACACAAGCACCTGTTACTGGCCCTCCTTTACCAATGAATCCTTACTTAACCGGAGGACAAATAAATCATCAAGTAAGTGTATATATAATCAAAGAAGAAGAAAAAATTAATATTCGAAAGTAGCAATAATTTCAATATTTTTTTTTTCAATTTTCAATGATGTAAAATGATATTTGGAATAGAGCAAAAAAAAAGAGCAAATTTACTGTCACTTGCAAACGATCGAGAGCTACTGAATAATCATGGAGTTAATTTACATATAACAAGCTTGAAAGCGATCACTTATGAATAAAAAAAAGGATCTTTGAATTCCAAGATATTAATTAACTTCTAAAAATAATTTTTTTCAAAGGGACAATTAATTTATTAATTTTACAATTAATTATTTGAAAATATTAAATTTTGAATATGATTCTTTTTCTGAATGAAATTGTATCTTTTTCTTTTCCAGGTGAAAATTAATCCCGGTTCTCATATTCAAATTGTAAAGAATGGTGTTACTCTACGTCATCCAAGTATTCCATCGTCACAGATGCCAGCTCAACAACCATTTCCACCCGCAAATCCTATTCCAATTCCAACTCCTTCTTCACCATCACAGAATTTAATACCCGGATTCCTGCCCGTTCTCAATTCATATAAACCACAATTCTTTAGCAATAAAATTCCCCAAATACCAAGTTTGACATCATCAATAGCAAATCCAGTTAATGGATATAATTTCATTGACAGAAGATATCGACACATTGTCAGACAACCTAAAAGTCTATCAAAACGTGACAATACCGATGAAGAAATAACGGAACCGAAATATCCATCAAATGAAGACAAAGTATGTAAAAATATAATAAAATCATTTTTTTACCAATCGAAAAAACAAATTCATTTTTCGAGCTATTAAAAAAAATAATAAAAATTATTTTTTATAATTTCCAGGTAAATTTCAACATTTTTGGCAGGAAAAATGTGACAAAACGAGAAACAGATATGAAAAGAAAACGAGCCCTAGTTCACTTATCAGACGGTTCAATAGTGGATGATGCATTACTATTGCAACAAAATTTGGAAGATGATTATTTTTCTGGTTTAGCCAATTTTGGTGCAGCATTAAAAACACCTGAATCAAAGGAAGAAGAAAGAGAACCAGCTGAAGGTGAAGTAAGACAAGTTATGGATATTTGTGATGGTTGCGCTGGTGAACCATTCGAAAGGGCTCTTATATTTGGATGGAGAAGTGTTTCGAAAAAATTATATTCAGGTGCTATGCATATTCCAACAGTGCCAGTTTGCAAAAGTTTTTAAACTTCAATTATTTTAGTAAACAAAAAAAAAAAAAAATTAAATCAGTATTTTTTTCAATTTTTTTTTTTTTTTTTTTTAAATTATCGCTTTATGACAAGATCGCGATTATCTTTTTCGTGCTCGAAACTACCTCTTGAACGCGACGTAAATTATATACTCGTATTGGATTAGCATATAGATAATTTATAAAAATCATTTATTTTTTATTTTAAATATTCCATTTATTTAAGATTGAATCTATTTTTTTATACCCTAGATGATTTAAATTATTATTTGTTGTTTTTTCGCGATTCGTAAAATTGTGCGAATTTAATTATTTTTAAGAGTAAATTAAATTATTTTTAAAAAATGAAAGTAAATTGGCGCAATTAAATTATTTTAAAATGGGAGGAAAATAAATTGCGTGATTTAGTTTTTGTAATGAAAAATGTTGTGTGACAAATTATGTAATCAATTTTTTTTTTTAGTTTTTAAGGCACAAGTTATGTCAAAACTTAGTCTATTTTCTACGTGCTAGTTGTCTAAGACAAGTTTGCTCACCGATGTGTAAAATTAGTTTTCTCAATAGACAATATGGCAAAATAATGACATCGATTTTAAGAATTGCCATAAGTATTGTAGTATATAAGCTTTCTTCTAGATTTTTGTATAGAGAGAAAGTATTGTGATTGATGAAAATCGTTTATAATAATATATACTCCAGGCATTTTAGTATATATATATAATTTCTTTGAATTATTTTTTAAAAATATATCAATATTTTCGAATTTTATAATGATTCGATTATTTTACATAAAGAACTTTTGGAATGAAAATAATTTTGTGGTCACTAAAGAAAATTTAAAAGCACTAACCTTTGATTTGTGAATGTGCTGATGTTGAAATTCACTGTCAAATTCGGGTTCGCTGAAGTAACTTTGATCTTCCCAATGAGGTGGAAGACCAGCACCACCCGCAGGACCAAGAGGTCCTGGCATTCCATCCGAACTTTCAAATAATCTTAGCACACTTCGATCTCTAATGTCTCTCAGATGTGATCTGAAAATAAAACAGGTGAAATTATTTGAAAAATTTTTTTCACAATTATAAAATTGATCAATGAAAATAATTATAAGATACAATTTTATGTTACCTGTACCTTAAGTCTTCAAGTTCGTAAAACATATCCTTGCTGCTGTCGTGAATATAAACTTTAACATGAGGACTGTCTAAATATTCCATGGTAAGTTGCTTTGGAAAACTCCTGACAAATAATGCTTTTACTGTATCTATACTTGTAATCTCGTTGGGAAGTAATGCTCGTTTTGTTTCACTTCTATATTGCAGGAATACCAGTCCTGAAATTTAAGAAAAATTAATTATTATTAGTGCTATAAAAAAATTTTCAAATTCATATATATTTATACTACTGATAATAAAATTACAACAACAATTACAATTAATTAAACTAATTTAAGTTCTGTTTGAGCAAAACTTGATTTTACTACTGATAAAATTACAAATATTTAATGATAAAAAATTACAAAAAAATTACAATTGATACAGTTCTGTTTGAAATAATTATGAAACTTAATACTTAATACATTGTCTGACTGAAATTGACTTTTTCTACTGATACAAAAATTATAATTTATATTTTTTTGTATGACCAATCACCGACTTGTACTACTGAAAAATACTAAAATTTATTTCTACTACTGATACTAAATAACATTTTACGGTAATGTCTGACTAAAACTGTTTATTACTACTGAATTTCACTACTAATACATTAAAATTATTTAATTATTGACTTCTACTATATTGATACAAAACCTAAGAAATTTTTTATTTTGTCTGACTATAAACTGATCTTTATTGCTAAAAAAATTAACGATTCTGTCTGACTAAAAACTGATTTTTACTACTGACAATAATAAACAGTTGTCTGGCAAAAACTGATCTTTATTGCAGAAAAATTAAAGATTCTGCCTGACTAAAAATTGACTTTTACTACTGACAAAAATTAACTGTTGTTTGGTGAAAACTGACACAAATTACAAAAATATATACACTTCTGTCTGACTAAAAATAATTTTTACTTCTGACAGAAGAAATTGTTACGAGAATTTTTATAATTCTGTCTGTCTAAATCTAATTTTTACTATTTTAATACTAAATTAATATGTACAAAAATTTTTTTTGTCTGACTATACTGCCTTTTACTACTTGTTACCTTATCTAGATAAAAATTTATTTCACTACTGATACTAAAAGTACAAAAATTCAAATTGAAACTTTTCTTACTAATAACGAAATTTTTTGTCTGACTAAAGCTCAATTTCACTACTAAAATATTTTAAAATACTTTAAAATTACTACTAAATCTTACTCAAATTGATTTTTAAGACTCTAATAAAACTTTTGAAAATACAAATTTTTTTTTAATAATACCATATTAAAAATAAAAATTCCCAATTATTGTAGTTTTCTTTACCTAATGGTCGTTCTAAAGTTTTACTCGGAGTTCGCACAACGGGCAAGCTGCTTCGTTGTTTACCACCCCTTCGAAAACCGGTACTGGATGTCTCCACTTCGGACATGATGCCCGGATCATCATCAAACAACATCGCTGTTGAGGGTGGTGGATAACCTCGTGGCAAGGGTGCCTGTAAATTAAAAAATTCATTTAAATCTTCAAATTACTAAAAAAAAAAAATATCACTTCTACAATCGTAAATATTGCAATTTACAATACAGATTGTAAATTTTACTAAACGGATCTATTTACAAATTTATAAATTGTTTAAATTTAAATTACCTATATAATTAATGTATTTTATTTTACAATTTTAATTATTATTTACAAACGAAAAATTATTTTTAAAAAATAAATTCACATGCTAGGAACAATTTTTAATTTAGAAAATTAGAAAAGGTTCAAGAAAAATTACCTTTCTCTGTCGAGATTTGGTCCCCATCTGTTAGCAAGAGTCACACAAAAGGTACACATAAATAACAGGTTAAAATATTGATGAGAAAAATATATTACATCATTCAAAATTCATTCTCATATTTGTAAAAACAAAAAATGGATATTAAAAAATAAAATAAACATTTATATCAAAAAAATAGGTCCTTTAAATGGTAAATCGAATTTTGTTCTCTATAAAACTTAATTTCTAATAATTTTAATTTCAAATAAAAAAATATTTAAAAAATTTTAATCAATTTACCATTAAGAAAACCAAATAAAGAAATTCAACATGCTAAAATATAAAGGATTCAATTTCCCATTTATCGAGATGATAAATATTATAAATATGTGAAAGGATAAAATCGTGATATTGATTTTGAACTTTTTTTTTCTTTGCATTTGAAAATAAATGGAATTGAGATATATACCTCAAGATCCATTGTGTGTCGACCAGTTAGCGTTCCGTATTGGCTATGAGCTGTTGGTAGATGATGTGGATGGAGTGGATGAATTTGTTGAGTAGAATTGAATTGGTGATGTAAGGACGGCTGATGATCGCCGCTGAGGGTATGCCTTCGAGGTTCGTCCCTTGAACGACTCCCACCTCCACTTCCTGAAATACTGGAGCCCCTGGTCCCACCCCCAAAACCTCCTCCTCCACCACCACTTCCACATCTACTGAGGTCGTTCGCACCTTCACCCTCCGTTCTTCCGGTTCCGCCTGAAATCAGTTTTCAACCATTAAAATCAATTGCTTTTCAATTTTTTTTTTCTCATTAATTATAATTATTTATTATTTCAACAATTTTTTCATACAAAAATTTGAGATGAAATAAAAATTTTTTAAAAATTAATAACCACGTCAAAATGATATTTAAACTGTCATTAAAAAAAAAAAGTGTCCTCTAAAGACTTCTTTTTGTAATAAGACTATATATCAAATCGTCAACAATGATGCCACAATAGAAAGTGGTAAAGAATCCCCCCTTCCTTGAGTTGAACCCTTTCGACCCTGCCGCGTAATAGTGATCCCTTCTTCAGAGACCATTTACTTCCCCCTTTGCATTGCCAAGTGCGTATCCAATTAATAATATAAGTCTGTCTGATGTTTCAAGCTCCGTTTTTTTTTTTTTTTGAGTGGATGTACAAATTAATTATGAATTTTTTTTTTATTTTTCAATAGTCGTTCGATATACTAAATTTTTTTTTCACGACAAAGAAAATTACAATACAACTTCATATTAATTCAATACACCAAAATTTTACATGCAAATTTGAAAAAAAATTATTCAAGTCTTATATATATATGTATATATGAAAAAAATCTAGCGAAATGGGCTTTCATGGTAATTAGCAACTCGACGCGCTTGTTCGCATATAAGAAAAGCATTGCGGTTATATAACTTTATGGGCTGAATACAATTATGCAAAAACTCACACAGCTATATAACTTGTTCAAGATGTTTTTGAAAAAGAAATATTTTATCCATAAAAATTCTGAATACAAAAAATCATTCGAATTTAAAAAATATATTTTAAAAATATCAAAAGAAAAAAAAGTAGTTGAACAAAATATTTAATTTTATTCTAATCAAGGTTTATTCACAATAAAATATGAGATATTAAAAAAATCATTACAGATTAAATATAAAAGATTAAAATAAATTTTTTCGATTTAATTTCTAATTTGTGAAAAAGTTAAGTTTATTTTTTTGGGCAATTTAATTTTTCGTATTTATTTTAATGATTAAAGCATTGCATCTTATTTTAATACATATTTTTATATTAGAATAATACTCCACAATTTACTGTGAAATTAAGAATTTAAAAAAAAATTTATTTATTTAAGTAGTAAAATCGTAAGCGCGAAATTATCATTATAATGAGTTTCATTATATCATAACATTTAAATACCGCGCTTAATTTGTCTGAATTTAAAATGCAGAAAATGGGATTCATGTGAATTTAAAACGCTAAGTCTTCTCTTATTTTTCTGCACAAATACCCACAAAAAAAAATTTCTCCATTTTTTCACATAAATATAATGCAAAAATTTTTTCCATGGCACAATATTTCTCACACATATATGTAAATAATTTATACACATTTGTCATCATTTGTAACATATATATATATATGCATATTATTTATATACTGTATAATAAACACGTGCCATATATATATAAATTTTTTCAATAAAAGACAAAAAATGATGAATGAAACTGAAAATAAATTTTCATGAATTCAATTCATATAAAACTATATAATTCTGTCATATAACTGAAATTTATGAGAAGCAAATTTTAGTTTTTCATTCGAAATATTTTCACTAAAAAATTTATATACTACTTGTTTCTATATGTGTATTTTTTTTTGTTCTTGAAAAATATTCAAGCTGTGCAGAAAAATAAAAGCCAAGAAAACAACGTCTTTACTATTTTATTATATACCTTCCCCTCTATGAGCTGCAGTGCATAAAAACTAAATTACTCAACATGTACAGTACTTCCGAGGGTAATTGAATTTGATTTCAGTCATTTAAATAAAAAGCAAAACATCAAGAGTCATTTTCTGGAGAGAAAAAAAAAAATAATTTACATTAGAAAATAGAATTTTGTATTTTAATGCTTTTGAAAAAGCATTGTTTAAGTTCGAAACTCGTATTTTCCAAATGACAATTTTTTTTTAGAAAATAGTGTTTTACACTTAAAACTGTCGTATGTTTTTATTAGAAAAGTGTTTTATAGTTTTCCATTCTAAAACATTTTATGTTCCAAAAATAATATTTTACTTTCTAAAAATGCTCTACAATATTTAAAAATATTTATTCTATTATAAAAAAAAATTTTTCTCGATAGAAAAAAAAATAAAATTGCATTTTATATTCGAAAGTACACTGAAAAAAAATGTAATTCAAATACTCGATTACTTGACTATTATCAAATAAATATTTATTTGTATCAAATAATTTATTATTTGAGATGTTATTTGTTTCAAATACAGAAATTATTAGTTCAAATACAATTTACTCTCTAAATCTGAATTAGTAAAAATGTTTACTAATTAGAAGTAGTGACTCACTTTTTGCTTCTGAATTAGTAAAATTTTACTAATTATTAGTAACTTTTACTAACAATTAGTAAAATTTAACTAATTCTAAAGCAAAAAGTGAGTCACTAATTTAAATTAGTAAACATTTTTACTAATTCAGATTTAGAGAGTATTTATAATTCAAATAAAAATTATTTGGTTCAAGTAAATATTTATTTGATAATAGTCAAGTAATCGAGTATTTAAATCAAATAAATTTTTTTTTCAATGTACTATTTTACAATCGAAAATACAAGAAATGCGAAACAATTAACAGAAACTCGTTTAGTAACAAATTATATTAATAAAATAGAAAAGATTTCACTAATAAACAAAAAAATTCTACAACTACTGTAATTGTTATAGATTATGGTTTTTAGTGTCGGCATAAAATAGAACTCATCCAAAAATAGTATCTCGTCTTAATACACACACACATATATATATATATACGAACACATAAAACATATTATTTTCATTTAACACAGTTTGCGTGTGTAAAAAAAAATTCTCCAAAGGAGTAAAATGCAAGGAAAAAAAAAGAAACCTTGAATTAAAGCCGTATACATGATTACAGTCTCGTAAATTGACTTACATGTCTGAAGCAGTGAGCGTTTGCCTTTCTATCAAAGACGAGCAAAAAGACGTTACATGTGAGTAACAATAATAATAATAAAAAAAAAATAAACAACCACTGATAATTTCAATTAAAAATTAAAATCCAGTGTGTAAATAATTTTTAATATATAAAATTTAAAGGGCCAACTTGTCACAGTTTCCGTCGCGTGCACTGCCGGGAGGCTGAGCGGCGAGAAAAAAATCGTCGACACACGACCACGGTTTTATAATCAATATTAGTTGTCTGACGGACCGCTTCGTGTCGCCGCGTGTCATTGACATAGCCGCCTTCTATATATCTATAGATATAATAAATATACACCTATATATGTATATATACATCAAAAACAAATATTAACAAAAATTTTAAACAATCAAAATTATTGATAAATAAACAGTTTAATAATTATTTATCCATACGGAAAAAAAACAATAAAGTCCTTGAATTTTGAAAATTTTATAGGAGACCGGTCCAGCGACAGGGTGTGGCGAACCTATTGAAGGAACTTGAAGCTATTTCACCCGGCATCCGTCAGAGTGCGACTCTAGTTTATTGTGCAAATTCGACGCATGATCACTATGGTGCTCTTAGAAATTTCAATTTCCGCAAAAGTAACAGATTATATGGTTCAATGTCCTTTATGTATATATATATATATATGCTTACTCTTCTTCCCCCCCCCTTGATGCTAAATTATTACAATATACAGGATGCATGAAATTATTTAAAACAATTCAAGTCCCTCAAAACTAATAGAAAATATCAATAAGGAAATTGTTGTTTCAAGCAGATGCAAGTCTAAAGAGCGTTCTCGTCTAATTTAAGTTCACGACTGGGTGGAACCAGGAACTTCCGGTTTCAATTCATGGGTCTAAAGTCTTAATCTATTTTTGCAGCAATTCATCCATCGAGTTACTTTATTGATAAATGAGGTGTAGGAGGCGGAATTCCCTATATACACGGAAAAAGAAAAATTTATTTCATTCAAATAATCAGTTACTTGAACCAAATAATTTTTAATTTGAATTAAATAAATTTCTATTTGAACCAATAATTTCCATATTTCCTTTGGAATACTACAGGAATGTTTCTTTGGAATATTGTCCGAAATATCGTAAGAATGTTAATTATTTTAAATTAAAGCGATATTGTGAAAAATTTCAAAAAGTATATTTTCCGAAGGATATTAAAGGAATATTCTTTTGGAATAATATTAAAAATTATTTAAAATATTCCTAAAGGCTATATTAAAGAAATGTTTCTCCAAAATATTATATTTCCCTATAGGATAATAATCGAATACTTTTTTGGAATATTTCGAAAAATATTCCTTTCTCTCTAAATCTGAATTAGTAAAAATGTTTACTAATTTGAATTAGTGACACACTTTTTGCTTCTGAATTAGTAAAATTTTACTAATTTTTAGTAAAAGTTACTAATAATTAGTAGAATTTTACTAATTGAGAAGCAAAAAAGTGAGTCACTAATTCAAATTAGTAAACATTTTTACTAATTCAGATTTAGAGAATTAGTCTACTATGGTACTTTCCTTTGATTTACATAAATATTTCCTCACATTACAGAACATGGTATTTTTTTTTAATATTCTAATCATTATTATCAGCAATAGTCAAAGTTTAAGTACATAATTATTTCCGGTTTCGAAGTTTCAAAGGTAATTCGACCCCCTATACAATATATATTTTTTAACACGCCCGAGAATAATAAATGCTTTTTGAGCGTCGGCTTGTAAAGAGCTATTGAATCAAATGGGGGGGTCTTTGCAACAATAAAAAAAATTGGCAAAGGGTCATGGGTAATTTTTTTTTCTTCAATTAATTCCCTCTATGACCTATTAATTCGAAAGCTGAATTCCTTTAGTAAAGCATAAAAAAAAAAATCGAAATTATTTGAATCGCAAAGAAAAAAAAAAAAATAGGAAAGGAATTTGGCTAGTAAATGAAGAAAATAAGAAAATAAGCAAAAACGGTTTTGAGCTTGTAAAACTAACAGTATATAAAACCACATTTTATATATATGTATACACGTTGAAGAGTAACAAGGAATAGGCAATTTTGTTGCTTATATACAATTTAACACATGTTTCCGTGATGATGGTAAAAGAACAACACGAAAACGTGAGTTTAATGTTAAACGTGTATATATATATATAATCTCAATTTTCTGGTCACGTTTATTTTTGGTCACACTATAGATATATTTATATATTATATTCATGTCTGTAAAGATGATAATACCATAGTTGAGCCCATTAAAGTGGTGAGTAACTTATTAAAGAGAGCGCGGCAATAAAAAGCAACAATAATTTAATTGTATTTTGGTCAACTTTTCAGTCATAAACATCAATTCGTTTCAAATACAATTTTTCAACTCTTAACTCTTATTTATCTTCAACAAATATTTTACATTGGCTTTTAAAAGAAGAAAAAAAAGTTAAAAGATAAGATTCTTTTTCTTTACACAGACTGTATTTGCAATTGTAAATAAAAAAAAGAAACTTTTAATGTTTAATTAACAAAACAAAAAACTATCTCTTTTCAAAAATATACCAAAAGAAATATTCGAAAGAAATATACAAAAGTCGAATATTCCATAACTTTTTTCTAATATTCCTACGATATTCCAAACTAATTCCTAATTTTCAATATTAAAATGGAATTTTCCCCATTTGGAATATTTTTAGAAAAATGGATTCTTATTCCAAAAAGTAAAAATATAGAATTTTACGAGCGCACAATAATTGGGACAATTATCACAACAATGACGATGCTATTTAGCATATACTTATATACTTGAAATTTATATTTTATTCTCTTTGCGATAATCTCGGGGGAAATTGTACAGAACAATTTTAACAAAAGCAGTCCACAGAGATTTCATTTGTAGTAAAAAAAATAAAAAAAAAAGAAAATGAGGAGGATTATCTTTATCTCATCGGGATTTCAAACTTTCTTTTGATCCTATTTTATTTCAACGATTTATACACAAAAAACAATGAATGGAAAAAAATTCTTCGTTTTATAACTGAGAACGCGTTAAAATCGTTAAAATCTCTTCTCTACGGATAAAAAAAAAAAAAAAAGAAATATGAAATAATATACAACTATGGAATTCAATTCAAGATGACATATATTCCCCTATCAATATGATCCGGTGTAGCATGCAATAAATTTTATTTCTTTGCTTTTTTCTCTTGACACGCAACGGAAGTTAAAAACTAGTTGATATTGGCATTATTTTGTATCAGTTGCGAAATACGTCTATCGGACTTTCCAATATATATGTATATATATAGATAAAAAGAGGGGTGACACACAACAAGAGAAAAGGTGAAATGTGAACTTGGAAACCCATCAAAGGTTCTAACAATTTCAGGGGTTAAGTTAAGCTTATAATACCTTTTCAAGAAAGAAAAAAAAATGTTAAGTCTATATTTATCCCTTCAATTAAAATTAGATTCAAATATAAATTATTTATCATGGGGATAAAAAAAATACCCTCCCCCTTCTCTCGAAATAAATTTTTTTTTTTTTCGAAAAAAGTTGACTAAAAAAAAAATTTTATTACAACTATAAATCGGAAAGAAATTTGAATATAACGTAAAATCAAAACGAACTATATGAACCATAAACCTGTCGCACGATTCCTTCCACCCCACATAAAAATTATTTTTAAAAATTATTTTTATAACAAATATTTGTCATACAAAATAATTAATAAATTTATAAAAAAAAAGTAATTATACAATGACAACTCACCGATATCATTTCCTTGACGTCCTTTACCATCTGGATTCCATTCTTCTTCTAGAACAAAAAAAAAATAAACATTTCCATTAGAATTTTTTATATGATTATTATAACAATTATTAATTTGTCAAATTAATTAACAATTATTATTAAATAAGTAAAATGTTTATTTTTTATGTTCTAAATGAATATAAAATCGATGAATAATGAAATGACGTACATTTGTTTATAATCACAATAGAGAAAAAAAAATTAATTTTAGGTAAAATTTGATTGAATTATTTAATAAACCAATCAAAGATTTGTTTGGTAATCTTTTTAAAAAATGGAGTATTTTTTTAATGTCATTATTTCAAGACGTTTGGACAAATTGAAATTAGTGCGCAGTAAATACGGAACGATCTTTTTTTTTCGTGCAATTCATCCACCACCCCTCACGCATTAAAGTGAGGCGTGAGGATGAACTCAAAAATGAGTTTGTCTTGCAAGAGAAGAGGGTTATAATTTATGCGTGCACATGTGAATTTCTAAAGATGTGCACGGATGCTTTCATGTTTTTACCCCCCTAGCGTCCCCCTTTTCTCTCACATTCAAGGGATACAAGAATCTAGTCTTCATAGAATGACATACTTAATATAACCTAGATACTTTGTATGAGACAAATTGTCTAACGTATATACTAATTACGACGCCACCAAACAAATATTTTTAATATTCACAAAAAAAAATATTTACAAAAATAACTAATAAAAAAAAATAAAAGAAATAGTAAATAAAAAATAAATAAAAAATAAAAAAAAGTAAAAAGTAATTGGAAATATAAATAAATAAAGAAAAATAAAAAATTGTTTTATAAGAAGGTTTCAATTAAATTCACATTTTTATAAAATGTCTTTATAAAATGGCAAGAAAAAAAAATCGTTTAATTAAAAATTACCTGACGACTCGGAATTGGTATCGGGTGTAGGACTTGTATCAACACTACTATGTCGCGCTTGACAACATTCACTGCATTTGCTACACATTTTCAGTTTTGACTTTGATTGACTTTTAATTTGTAAACGTCATGTTATCCATTAAGTTCTATTTTTTCTTTTTGAGATCTGTTTATGCCTACAAAAAATTTTTTTTGACAAATTGTTTAGAAGAATTACATTATAATTTTTCAAATCAATGAAACATTTCATTAAAATCAATCCCTTCGATATTAATTAAAATTTTGTGATAACGAATTTAAAAAAAATTAATAATTTTTTTAAACTAAAAATTGTTTATAAAAAAAAATGTCTTACAATTTTAAATAATTTAAAAAAAAACTACAACTTTTATATTGAAAAGGACTTGGAGGAATTTTTTTTTTTATTTTTTTGTATACGTTTATGATCAAACGTTACTAGTGCAATATTCGTAAAACCATAAGTGGCTTCAAGAAAAATAAACATTATAGAAAAGAAGAGGAAGAAGAAGAAGAAGATGATGAAGAAGAAGAAAAAGACCAAAAGTAAGTCTCTTGAGAATCTTTAAACATACGAGAAAGAAAAACAGATAATATGTATACATATACATGAAAATCTCAAGGGAATATGTAAATCTCAAAAGATTAATTATAAACAGAAAACGTGTAAACGGAAAATGCTTGACGTCATAAAATAACAGTCGTTCACTAGTTCAAAGGTACATGACCTAATTGTACCATCCCTGCTTATTTGCGCATGTGCATTAAAGTCGCGGCTGGTTTGCTTTCACGAAAATCAATGAAAATTCAAGATCTTCAGAGTTGAAGATTTGCAGCAAAAAGTTTTTAATTTTTCTCAATCGTATATTACAAAAATTTCCTCTCTTCATAAAGCAAAAATAATCCTTGAACAAAGAAAACAAGTTTTTAGGTGGATCACTTATCAAAATGAGAACCAATAATACATCCCCTTCCACAAATATAAATTCCACGACTTGTGAAATTTCATCTCGACAAATAGTTTCTTGAGAGAAAACTTTCGATATATAGAAAATGATAAGATTTTCCTGTCATAAAAGTATTTTGCTTAATAGAAAAACTTTAAATTAATGTCTTTCGAGTTTTTAAATTTTATATGTAAAAAAAAGAAGAAGAAGACGAAATTTGAAATAAATATATTTTGAATGAGGGGAAAGATTCAAAGATTTAGGGATGGAAGTCCAAGTATCCAGACGAGGTATCTCCCTAGAGATTGGCTCTAATTAAGCAAACCATATAGAACAAGAACTATATAGAACCACTTCTACATTTACAAACACACAAGTGACATCAATGAATAGCAAACTATTAAATTTAAATTTACGACTGACAAATGATTAAAACTTTTCAATTTTCGACAAATCAAATTTTCGTTTCACACAAACAACACAAAACATTTGTTTTTGATAAAGCATTAAAAAAAATATTGTTTTTTGATAAAAAATTCTTCTTGTTAAAAAAAAAAAAAATGTTTTTTTTTTATATAAAAACATGTTTTTATTGATCCCATTCCATTTTTTCTAAACAATATTTTTGATATAAAGAAAAATCAACAAGAGATGCAACTGGTAAATAAGTCTGGAATTTCCCTTTACTTTGAGAGGAATACAAAAAGATGAAATATCAAAGATATGTGAAAAATGAAAATAAAACCGAATCTTCTTAAAGCTTAAATATGCTTATATATATACCAGTTACGTTTTATAGTTTCTAAATAGAAACTTTATATATATATTTCATGACTTGTCAAAGCAATTTTATATAAGGCAGAAGAATATTTACAACGCAATAAGAGACAAGGATTAACAAAAAAAAGAAGAAGAAGAAGAAGAAGAAGAAGAAGAAGAAAAGAGGAAAAAGAAATATTGGAAAATGTTCTCAGAATAAATTTCAAATATTTCATTCCAAAAGAACAATAATAATGAAATGGTTCAAGTCTCACAGGAAATGAACAAAAACAATATATACATTACGCAGTTCACGTGCGAGATACAATTCCTCAAATCATTTCATTCAATTTAATTGAAATGCGTTTTATTAAATGTAATATTAATTAGCCCATAGAGTAATTGGACATTTAATAATAGACACACAATTTAGTTATATTATCAATGAAAATAGTATTTGTATATATATGCAAATACATCTTCTTCATTTATATATCTTTTGAGTATATTCCCTACCAAAGAAAATACAATTTTTCTCCAAAGAATAAAAATTGATTTTAAAAAATACGAACGTAAAATATTTTATATAAATTTTCAATTTCCTATTCTATTAAATTCTCATTCTTTTGTCAGAGATGTTTTGATTTAATAAAATATTTTTCTCGATATATATATTATGTAATATAATATTCTATAAAATACATGTATATTTTACAAAGTAAATATTGTATTCTATATAGAATATTATATTCTATAAAATATGTAATACATATATGTGAATATATTTTTCTAGATTGATTGAAAAAAAAAAATTACAAAGGACAAAACACTGATGTTAATGAATTGCTTTTTCAAAGGAGCTTTTATACATTTTTAAAAAAATGCGTTGTATGTCATTTTTTTTTAATTTTTCAAGATGAGAAATTGTCAACATGTGAACGCGCGGGAAATCTTTGAGAAAGATACGTCACGAGTTTCAATTTTACAAATAGCGCAGCGTCGTCGTCGTCGTGAGCCGCTCTACGCCCGTGTGTATACTGTCGATAGCACATTGTCCTTCGTTTGCCGTCGTCACCCCCTTTAAAACCACCCCCGCAACACTTTACCGCGCTCCCCCCACTCCAACATTTGCAACCAACCAGTGCTCACTTCCCTTGCGCTGATCTTTTCGTCACCATCAGAAGAATATATATGTCTTATTCATTTGCATATGCAATTTACATATATATAGTATATTGATTATTAAACTAACATCATCAATTTAAAAAATAACTAATAATAATGTATTCAAAATTATGGATCTAAACAGAAAAGAACCATATAATATTCCTGTATTTGATTTTTTTAGATTCTCAAAAGAATAAAACACGTAAAGAAAGGAATTGCTTACAGATGCTAACTGATGTTTGCTATCGGATCTATCAAAATTAGTAACCACATATAAATTCTTTGCTATGACAACAAAATAGTTTGCTATGATAAACAATATCAGTCTTAATTTTTCAACATTTACTGTCACAGCAAACTTTTTTGATCCCACAACAAATTTATTCGCTGTCCCTGTATTAGCTAACGTACTTTGATGTGACAGCAAACACACGCATAGAAAAAAATTTGCTGTAGCAGCGAATTATTCGCTGTCACATCAAATTACGTTAGCTAATATAGAGACAGCGAACAAATTTACAGTGGAATCAAAAAGGTTTGCTGTGACAGTAAATTTTTAAAAATTAATACTAATATTGTTTATCATAGCAAACTATTTCGTTTTCATAGCAAAGAATTTAGATGTGGTTACTAATTTTGATAAATCCGATAGCAAACATAAGTTATCATCTGTAAGCAATTTCTTTTTTTCCCTGTAGTTCGCTGCCACAGCAAACTTTTTCTATGCATGAACAATATTGACCAAAATTTTAATGTTCTTTTGGAATTTCTATTTACGATATAGAAGAAGCTGCAGACACAAATGGCAAATAGCATTCAGATAATACTTAAAATATGAAGTATTGTTGGAAAAGTTTATATATATATTCCACAGGACAAATCGTTAATTAAATGAAACATAATCAATTCAATTTAACGTCGTCATGTCTTTTCATTAGCAGACATAAGCTTATGTAAATTTGAATAGGTGTATTTGAATCAAGAACAACATTATTGTGTTGGATAACAATAATTACATTTTCAATCACGCAACAAGTCTCGAGGTTATTGTTTTAGAAGATGAAAGAGACTTAATAATCAAGCGGACGTGAAATAGTAATTTTTTTTCCTTATTTAAGTATAATAACGACAAATGTTATATCCTCTGACCTACAATGGACAAAAAAAATATCAAAATTTTTAATTTTTGAGATAAACTCTCAGGCATAGCAGGGCTGTCATATCCAGAC